CCTCATAGGAAAGATGCTCCAGTCCCTGCGCCACTTTGCTGGGCTCGCTCCAACACCTTTCTTGTCCTGGGTAGACCACAACTGGACCCAGCATGCAGACATGGCCTCACCAGCACTGAGTAGAGAGGAAGGATCAGGTTCCTTGTCCTGCTGGTAATGGTCTTCCTACTGCAGCCCAGGATGCTGTTGGCCTTCCTTGCCGTGAGAGTCCATTGCCACAGAAAACTCAGGAACACCCCTGAGCTGCTGAAACTGAGTAGGACACAACAGTGAGAATTCTGGAGAAGTATCCCAGCTGCTCATGCAGATCTTGCTCTTTCTTCAGTATCCACCAATGACCACTGTAGGAAAAGGGAGATCATCTCACACATGACTGCTCCTGTGCCTTTACTTCCTAACCAAAGAATCCCAAGGAAGGCAAATGTCTTCCTAGCCTTGCATCTGGGGATCAGTGAAAGCTGATGTGAGAAAGACCCATCAGCCAGACACTGGACAAGAATCTCTGTTCAACCCCTTGAGCTGTCTCCCTGTTTTTCACATCTCTCCTCTAGCTCTGGGGATTCAGCAGTGCTTGGCCTGGTGGGTCTCCATGTCCCTCACTCCTTCTGGGTTCTCTGTTTGACATAAAACCACTGGTGGCTGCATTTCTGGGATGTACATTTCTGGAATTGAGCTTGGCCCTCTGTGCACATGTCTCTTGTGATGCTCAGTCTGTTTTGGAAAGCAAAGAGCTGGGCCTGGGGAGGGGAAGCTGTGGAGGAAGCTGAGAAAATCAGCCATGGCGGTAGGGTATCATGGTTAATGACTGGAATGATGTCACCTCAGTACGACATGACATTAGTTGTTTGCAGTGAGGCCTTCTGAGATGATAAAGAAAGCTGAGCCTCCGCCCCTGGAGAAAAATGTCATTGTGAGGTACTGGAGGGTGGATGAGAAGCCCCATTCCCACCGGGATGGGCAAAGAATGATGAGATTAGGAATCCACCTGGAGGTGGAATTCAGGTCTGTCCTCAGGCTGGCCTGTGCTCAAACACCTGTGAGGGTGGATTCAGGATCTTGCAGGAAATGCAGGACATCTGGGAGGGCAAACAAGAAATATGTTGGAATATGGGAACACAAACTGACGCCTTCCATAATGATATTTCAAGTGACTGGAGTGCTTTTTCACACCCACCTTGCATCTGAAACTGGTTGGTCTTTTGGCCAATCTTTCCCTTTTCCTTCATGTTTGTAATTTCTCAAGCATCCTGAAAAGTGAATGCCATGGCTTAGCATTGCTGCAGGAGTTACAGGGAGACACTTCAAAGACTGAGCTTAACATCAGGTTTGCCCCCAGAGCCTTGACTCAAAAGACCCAGTTTCCTCTGGGGACAGGAGCCTTTCAGCATCTTGGGGAACTCGCAAACCTGAGGAACTTCAGCAGAGGCCACTGTCAGGGCATGTGGAAGGTGAGAGTGGCTGGTTCACTATGGTTGTCAGAGGAAGTCCCTTTTCAAAGGGAAGAAGAAGTAAACAGGAAAGTGATAAACAGGGCACACAATAACAGCAATCGCTCAGTAAGTGACAAGGGAGACAAGGAGGGAGACCAGAGCTCTTCAGCCCCTAATTGATGGGACATTAGGAAACTGCAGGCATGGCTCTGAAGTCGATCAGGCTGAGCTTTGTGAGTGACAAGAAGTGACAAGAAGAACATGAGGATTATGGATGTTTGAGGGGGGTCCTGTGGGACTTGGCCACACTTATTAAGGAATGCTATGGGGAAGGGTCAAAGGTGGGAGGAAAAGAGGGAACTGGGGAGGAGCAAGGGGAGACAACAGAGATGAGGAAGGAGAAACAGAGGTACCTACTCCTAAGGAGGGGCTGGTCAGTGCACTGCCTGCCTGATCACCACGGTCCCCCCGCCTTCTTATTAAATCCTTTCTTAACCATCCTTGTGTGTAAACATCACTTCTGTTCCCATGTGTGAGTGCCAGTAACTGGAGAGACCGGTGTGAGAGATCTGATGCCAGTAACTGGGCAAACAACCAAGGGCCATAGGGATTGTAGGCCTGGGTGCCAGCAACTGGATGGACCAGGGTGTGTGTGGCAAGATCAAGGTGGCAGCAACTGGAGAAGAGGCCTCTGATCACAGGACCTGACCATCTCTGTGCCAGCAGCTGAAGGGACTGGGGTGTAAGCAAGGTCTGGGTGCCAGCAACTGGAGAAGGAAGAACATGTCACAGTGGTAATACATCTCACTGTCAGCAACTGGAGGGTTCACATTGCACGTGTATGTGTGGGAGGTCTAAGGACCAGTGGCTGGAGAGACCTCAGTGTGTTTCTCGTTTTTCTGGGTGAATTTAACCTGATGTGCAAGGGTGTATATATGGAATTTGCTAGCATATTTCAGGCTGGGCTAACCAGTGAGTGGGAGGAAAAGCTTTATTTAAAGTCTGAGCCAGAGGCAGGTAAGGCCAGCACATGGATATTAGACAGGTTGATGTTACTGAGCTGTGGTAATGTTTGCGGGATCTGCAGTTGTGAGGCTGATTGTGAGAGGAGCAGATGACTGCATGAATCTGTTTGCTTGTGATCATCAGGCTGGCCTAGCCAGAGAGAAGAAGACCCAGGTGCAGGGTAAGAGGGCCCAGGCTCCAGGCAGAGTTCTTAGATGGGCTGAGGGTCTGTGCTGAGATTTGAGGGGTGCACAAATGTGGGTGTGTTTGTGACTCCAGAGAGTGAGTGGGTGTGTGTTTTCACTAGGGAACCATACGTCACAGACATACTGGAGACAGTCAAACAAAGGGCTATGTAGGTGACAAAGAGACTGGAAGCATCTCTGACATGGTGACAGGCTGAGCAAGCTGGGACTGTTCAGCACAGCAAAGAGAAATCTCAGGGGAGATCTCATCAATGTACACAAATATCTGAAGGGAAGGTGTGAAGAGGGCAGAGCCAGGCTCTTCTCCATGATGTGCAGTGACAGGACAAGAGGCAATGGGCACAAACGGAAACACAGAAGATTCTGTTTGAACGTCAGAAAACCGTTTTTCACTGTGAGAGTGAGGGAGCACTGACACAGGATACCCAGAGAGGTTGTGGAATCTCCATCCCTGGAAGTTCTCAAAATCTGTCTGAACATGGTCCTTTGTAACCATCTCTAGGTCCCCCTTCCTGAGGCACGTATGGACCCAGTGACCTCCAGAGGTCCCTTCCAAATTTACCAGTTCCATGTTTCTGTAAGACACACAGAGGCTCTTAGAGAACTGGCCTTCTTCAGCCTTCAAAAGAGAAGCTTACAAGAGAGCTTTTTGATGCTTCTAACACTTGGCTGGAGGATGAAGATCCAGATGGAGCCAAACTCTGCTTTCACACAGCAATAGAGCAAAGGGCAATGGACATGTTCTCGAGCAGGGGAAATTCCTACTACAAATTTGGAATTGTGATTTTGACAATGAGGGTGGAGCATGGTTGTAGATAGATCCTAGTAAGAATGAGACTCTGGCTCCACAGGATGTTGATTAAAATAATATTAATTGGAGATCACAGGAATGTAAAATGGGAAGCATGCTTAACATTATGCCCCTTCAGATGCTGGGAACCCCGAGTTATGGAGCATGAGGTGGAGCTCAAGTTGGGGTTTAGCACAGAGTGCAAATCCTGTCCATGTTGAGACTCATTGGCATTGTTATCTTTTAAGTTTACATAGGATTTTCTTGGAAATAAACCACTCCTAATTGCTACTGTTGAGCAAAGGGACATTCGCATGAAAGCACGGTGCTTCACTCTTAGATCAAGAAAAGGATGTGTTTGTGGCAATGTTGCCAAGTTTGCCAAGTGACATAGACAGCTCAGCACAGCACAGATCTGTGCCTGCTCAGGTCATGTTAACTTAACGATAATGAACAGTTTGTTATCTCTACCGTGACTGGTGCATGGGATCACTCTGGAGTTGATCTGGAAAGGGCATGGGAGTAAGGCACCCCACCTGAAGTACCCCCACCCTCTGACATGCCCTTTCAGCTCTGAGGTGCAGGGCTACCCTATCTCAATCCCTCGCAGTGCAGCACTTGTCCCATGTGCTCTCTGGGAGTAGGGGGTGGCCCCCTGATCCCTCATCCTGCTCCCTGCTGACCCCTTACCCTTTCGTCTAGAGTAGGGATAGGTTGTCCTTGTCATCTCTGGGTTTTTGGCATCTAACAGCAGTGCTGCAGCCAGGTTCCTCTCTCATGCTGTGGGTTATCCCACCAGAACAGGATACAGTCAGAAGCCCTGGGCTGCTGCACAGCACAGTTCATCTGCTATTTGGGGGGATTTCAGGGATGTTGGAATTGTTCCCAGGCAGCTGAGGAAAGAAAGAGGAGAAGTGAGAGAAACAGAAGAGCCTTCTCTTCCCAGAAGAAATAGCAACATCCCCAAAGAGCTGAGGACCCTGGGGGAAGATATGAAACCTCAGTGGGGAAGAAACCTCTGACCTCCCAAATGGTCCAGCAGTGGGTGTGCAGAAGAGCAGGAGATTCTGACTGGGGAGGTGAGGACTCAACTGCGAGCTGACCAGGAACAGCCTCTTCCCATGACTGGGATCCCCAGAGGCCTCAGGACCCCTCATTGTGGAAATGTTGAGAATATCATTGGCTGAGGGAGCCACAGGTGTTGCTGCTGGAGGAAGGAGAAAGCCAAAAGGAGCATTTCAGGCACAGGAAGAACAGATGAATTCTCTTCCCCACTTCTTCCTTTGCTCCCCCTACAGAGTCATTTCTGACAGCTTTGTTATCTTAGGGCTGGGAGGCGGTTTGCTGACTCTCTCTCACTCAACAAACAGGCAGACTGGTCTCAGCATTCACCTCGAGTATCTCATCCTCACTGGCTTCCTGGGGCAACTGCTGGGTAAGTCCTGGCTTTTTATAAATGCATACCTTTCCCCTGGAGGAAACCCTCACCAGTCTTATCAGGTCCGTGTGGGGAAATTGTCTTGAATAACAGGAAAACGCTGGAAAATGTCACCTCACATTTGTGGGTTTGCACGCATTCTCTCAAGATGCTCTTACTGTTGGAAAGGAGAAGAGAAGACAGAGAAGAGATACCTCAGACCTCTTTTCCATCTTTTCTCTCCTCTTCTGTCCCTCTCTGCCTCTGCTGATCCACCTGCTTTCACCATAAGAGACTTCAGTTGTCTCTGTTGTCCCCCATTTATCCCTTTCCAATGCAAGTTAGCAGATCCTGTCAAAGCTGCCCCAGGGACCTTAAATGTGCTGCCGGGCTGTGCCTCCTTGCTTGGCTACCATGGCCTCCAGTCTCCTCATGGTTGTTCACACTGCCAGGGTTCCCTTATTCCGACATTCAGCCTAGCACTGCATGGACTTAGGAGCCCTCAGGGATGACAGGAATAGGGAAGCAGGATGAATCTTTTTGCCATAGCTCCCCAGACCCCTCAAGCTTCTGGAGGGGTGCTGGTGGTCCCAGCAAAAAAAAGGTCAGGCATGACAGACTGCTCCCTGGTTCTCTGGGCCGTTGAAGACCAAGGAGGAGGAGCAGGGACACAAGACAGCTTTGCTCAGGGTCAACACTGGGTTGAGTGTTCTGAGCTCCTGCCCAAAACTACTCTCCCTGTGACTGTCCCCAGGCCTCATGATATTCTTGCAGGGCAAGGGAGCCTTCTCCAACGAGGTTTTCCATCCACTCCTGGTTTGCATCTCAGAGACTTTCCCTGCAGAGCTACTGACCTTTGCTTTCTTCCAGGCACCATGGGGCAGATCACTGTCACTCAGCAAGAAGGACAAGTCACAGTGAAGCAGAGAGACACCTTCCAAACAATCTGCACTTATCAGGTTTCTGGCTTTCAAGGCTTGTTCTGGTACCAGCAGAAGACAGACCAAGCCCCACAGCTGGTCTCATCCCAGGCAGCAGCTGGCCCCAAGCAGAGCGGCCGGTTCACCACCTTGCTGAACAACCCCGGGCCTCCTGCAGCTGGAGGAAGTCGAGGTCTCTGACAGTGCCTTGTACCTCTGTGCTGTGCAAGACACCCTGGTGCAGGGAGCTTCCTTGGCTGTGCAACAACCCAGGGGAGAGAGGGAGGGGATGTGTGTGTGGTGCAAGGCTGAGCCTGGGGGAAGGGGCCCTCAGCTCTCCCCTGGCAGTGCTTCTTCCCCTGTGCACCCACACATCTGCAGGCCATGATCCTGTGATGTAAGCTTTTCTGTCCATTCCAGACATCAATTTATGCAGACACCATCATAAATATTCCCATACCACACTAAATGAAAGTGCAGTCTTCTTATTGCCAATGCATGGCAAACTCCACTGTCTGAAAAAGTACAAGCAGCAGACATGTAGGGTTCTTTGTTCATGCGAAGCACGGACAACTCAGCACACCAATATGATGATTAGAGAAGTCGTTTATTAATCAGAAGGCTACATCTTATATACTGCTTTCTACTTCCGTACATGCACTTGCTCAAGCTCTAATTGGTTACATGTACTGTCCACGCGACTATCACGCTCCTTAGCAAGGATTCTGGTAGGTGTTTATGCCATGCATAGCTTCCACGTAAATTAAACACAAGTTCTTTGTCTAACATACAAGCTCCCTGTCTCAACCTGTTCCCATGGCCTTGTTTCTCAAGCTTATCTATCTCCTGCCCCACAAGCTTGCCTCCCTACATAACTCTCTGCACTTTCCCACATCTTATCACATTCTCAAAATACCCTCCAGCTCATTGATAACATAAAATGATCCTACACAGACATGTGAACATTTGCATTTACCTATTCACAATCTGTTCATCTTCACCACTATTAATATCTGTAGGCACATCCACCCTCCCTGACAGCAACTGAGTTCCTCTTGTCTTGAGATGGAGACACCTTAAAATTGGTTCCATTGTGTGATTTCCCTCTTGAACTTCAGCCATGGCAGTTGATGTAAAGAAATGCTGTATCTTTTCCTTCTCCTATCTATTGGTAGAACAATACATCAAAACAATTGCAGACAAAGAAAAGCTCAACCCAGGCAGCTCCCAGCATGGGGCAACTGTGGGCCCTCATTCTGTGGTTCTCACTGAGGGCACAGTCCCAGCCTCAGCCTCCTATCAGCAGGTGTCTCGTCTACCCCACTGGATCATTGCCCCAAGGAATCTCTGGGGACATTAAAGATTCCCGTGGGAGCTGGTTGTTCACTCCTGCTCATCTGGTATTAGGAACTGGCACCTTTGGTACCTTGTGTCCTGTGTCTGCTCAGTCACAGATGCTCAAACTCTGCCTGGAGCACTGCTTTCTTCCCTCAATGCATTTTTCTGTCCTTTTTTCCATGGGCACAAAAGTGGCTCCTGAGGGGAAACATCTACATGAACAGCAGCTGCTGCAGAAACTCCCCAGGCAAGGACAGGCACTGTCCCTCTCTCTGCTGGGGACACACACACCCAGCACAGCCCTCTGCTTTACAGACAGACCCTCTCCAACCTTCACACAGTCACATCTCTGACCTCCCAACGCCTCTGCTAGCCATGGCCCCAGGCCCTGTCCCCCGGGTCTGCCCTTGGGGACAGACTGCCAGGGGAGGCTCTCTGTCTGCTACAGACCTCCTGCTCAAGAAGAGGAGGCTTGTGAAGCCTTCTTCAGGCAGTTGGGGAAAGCCTCACAGTCACAGGCCCTGGTACTCATGGGTGACTTTTACCACCTCCGTGTCTGCTGCAGGACCAAAATGGCTGGGCACAAGCAAACCAGGAAATGTCTGGGGCATATGGAAGATAAATTTCTGAGACAGGCAATCCCTGAATGGACTAGCGGAGAGGCTCTGTTAGACCTGTTGTTACACACAAATGAGGAAGAACTGATGGATGATGTAAAGTTCAAGGGCAGTCTTGCCTGCACGACCAGGAGACTGGAGCTTAAGACCCTCAGAGGACCGACCAAGACAAACAGGAGGATTACTGCCCTGGACTTCACAAGGGTGCATCTTCATCTTGTCAGGGACTTTCCTGCTTGGTAGGATGTCATAGGAAACTTCCCTGGAGCACAGAGTGTTCCAGGAGAGGTGGCTGACCTTCAAGGACAGCCTCCTCAGAGCACAAGGATGGTCCTCTGCACCGTGGAGGAAAAAGTACAGCTGGAGTGGAAACTGGGAAGGGAGGTGCAGGGAATCAGGAAAGGTATCTCTGAGCCTATTGGCAGCAAAAGGAAGGCTAAGTAGATGAGGGCTCGTTGCTCGGTGAGAAAGAGGACCTGGTGGCAAAAGTTCGGGAAAAGGCTGATGTACTCGATGCATATTTCTCCTCAGTTCCTACTGATACAGCTTCTCCTTAGGCATACTACATCCCTGAGCCTTCCCACAGATTCTCTGTAGCATTTGGACATGCACAAGTTCATGGGATCCCTTGGGATGCATCCAAGGATCTTCAAGGACCTGACTGGACAGTCTCTGCTCAGTCCCTGGAAGGAAGATGGAGCAAATACTCTCAGAAGCCATTCTTAAACTCATGAAGGCAGGAAGGGAGTTGATGGCAGCTGACATTGAGGTTACTGAGGGCAAATTATGCCTCACCAACCTCATTGCTTTTTATGACTGGCACTGTGGGGAAGGGCAGGGGCACTGGCTGGAGTGTTCCTTGACTTTAGCAAGACCTTTGGCATACCCTCCTGGGTGCCCACACGTGAACACCCATATACACACAGAGGTATGCAGACTCGCAGGCATGCACACACAGAAATGTGTGTGCTGTTGGGGAATTTTTATTGTATCCCTTGAGGCAAATTATACAAATGCTTTAACTTAGACATAAAAAAAACCATCACATGATCAATATATTGGACAGAGTGCTACCACCATAACCAGTTCTACAAGGACTCTGCAAAGATGCATCACGAGCCAATTCCTTAGGTAGCCCCAATTGCACCCCCTGCCAGTGGTTGCATGGGGCACCCCACCTGGCATTGGGTCTGTCCCCCAGCACCAGCTCTGCTGCCCAAAGGTGGCCACTGAGTGACACCACTAAGTGATGGACTCGTGATGGTTTGTTAAACTCCG